ATTGCTAGGCACTCTTTCTCTGTTGTAGAATAATTTTGTTCAGCTTTATTAAGCGTTCTAGATGCAAAACAAACTGGTAATTCTTTACCACTTTTATTTTGAGCAAGAACCCCTCCTATAGCGTAATTACTGGCGTCAGTTGTTTAGAAGTCTACTTCAAAGTTGGGGACTTGATTTATGGGAATATTACAGACTAAAGTTTTTAGTTGTTCAAATGCTTCACAGTAGGGTATGCTTCACAGTTAGGGATCTATTTCACTTTCTTCCTTACGCAGGCATCTTGTCATAGTTCGGTATCATTTTTCGATAAAATCCTGAAGCCGAGAAAGCTTTTTATTTCTTTTTCTGTTTTGGGTAACTTAAATTCCTTGACTGCCTTTATTTTATCTGGGTTAGGTTCTATTACTTTTTCACTTATTATATGGCCCAAAAACAATAGTTCTTTCTTACAAAATTCTGTTTTGTCTAATTGTGATTTTGAGATTATGTTTTTTCAGTTTTTCTAGAACCGATTTTAGATGTTTTAAGTGGTCGTTAAAAGTTTCAGAAAATATAATAATATCATCCATGTATACCAATACATGTGGCATATCTGAAAATATAATATTCATCGCCCTTTGGAATGTTGCAGGGGCGTTGCATAACCCAAATGGCATTCTTAAGAACTCAAAATGCCCTTGGTCAGTACTGAAAACAGTTTTATGAACTGAATCCTTCTTAACTTTAATCTGGTGAAAACCAGAGCAAAGATCCATGGCTGTAAAAATTGTGGCTTTACCTAATTTTCCGAGTAAGTTCTCAATATTCGGCAACGGGTATCGGTCTGGGATCGTTTCTCTGTTGAGCTTTCTGTAATCGATCACCATTCTTATTTTCTTCTGCCCTGATTCATCGGCTTTTTGGGGAACTACCCAAACAGGCAAATTATAGGGAGAGTTACTGGGAGTAATTATTTTGTTTTCTAGCATTTTATTTATTTCACCTCTTATTTGTTCTCTAAATTGTTGTGGGTATCTATAATTTTTGGAAGAAATTGGATTGTCCGTTTTGGTTTTAATTTGGTATTCCAGTAGGTCCGTCGCTGATAATGCATCTTTTTCTGTTTTAAATATGGCAGGATATTGTTTCAAGAATTTTAATAATTCAGACCTATGTTGCGGAGGAATATGTTTAACTCTGACCTGCTCATTTATATTTTTGTCTTCCTTATCTATTGGTGGATTCACTATTTCCACTTCTTGGAAATGCATTAGAGGCAATTTGATTTTTCTCTCTTTTATCACTGATAATTTTTATTTCATCCCTATATATTCCGGGAGGTATTTCCAGTCCGTCCGTTTTATAATCAATAAAAAAGTTCTTTCCCTTAGGTATTTCTGCTATATTTTCTCCTTTCTTGAGTTCAATCGGGAGGGAGTCCCTATTCAATATGAAGTTAAATTCACTATAGTCTGATTTAATTTTTCGGTTTTCAAAATCTATTTTAAAGTTTAGGTCATCCATGAGTTCGGAACCAATCAGAATGTCATGGTTTGGACTAAAATTTAGTAAATAAAATTTGACTTTAGTGGGACATTTTAAAAACGTGTTTTTGATTTCAGTTTAATTTTCCAGGTATTGTAAAAGTCCATGGTCATGTACTTGGTGGACTGATGAATGTAATAAGGCGATAAAAGACAGAAAAAAAGCTTTTAAAAAATTTATAATCATGCCATCTTCTGAAAACTTAGAGAAACATAAATCTGTCTGAAAACATGTGAGATATGTAATTAAAAAAAAATCAAAAAATTATCATGGCAGAAATTTTCTCAGTAAAGTTAGCTGTAATACACCGATTAGAAAAATCGGTCTGGCAAACGATTAGAAAAATAATGGATTTAGGTTATTCTCCTCAAATAAAGTGCTTAAAAGATCACGATCAATATCAAACTGACCCCTGTAAGTCTAGCGAACAATTTAGCTAAACATTTTTATATTATCTCCTCGTCCTTAAATTACTCAGCATACTTTCTCAACAGAAAACAATCCATTGAATCAATACCGTTAGTTATTACTAATAATTCATTAGAGCCCTTAAATTTGCCCTTTTCAATGATTGAATTTATTATAGCTTTGAATTCACGAAAAGATTCTTTACCCGGTCAAGATCAGATTTGAATAGGTATGATTAAAAACTTGAGTATTTCTAATAAATCAATGATTCTAAAAATCTTGAATAAATTATTTTTGTCTAATAGTTTTCCAAATATCTGGAAAAAAGCTATCACTATTCCGATTCTGAAGAAAGATAAAGATCCTATGAATATTAATAGCTATAGACCGATTAACTTAACCTCTTCTATTTGTAAATTGATGGAGAAACTAATAAGCAATAGATTGTTATGGTATCTTGAATCCAAAAATGTACTGCCACCTTGGTAGAGTGGTTTTCGGCGAGGGAGAAGTACGAAAGATAATTTGGTTTGTTTAGAGACTGATATTTTAAATGCCTTTGAAAACAAGAAAAATATTTTAGCTGTGTTTCTTGACATACAAAATGCATTCGATAGGGCATGGAGAAGACTAATAATTGACACCCTGGTTAGAATTGGAATTGATGGTCATGTACTTGCCTACATAAATAATTTTCTAACAAATAGAACTTTTACGGTTAGGATTGGTAATGTTCTTTCTCATGGATTCGAACAGGAGAATGGAGTGCCCCAGGGTTGTGTATTGAGTGTGACACTTTTTTGCATTTGCTTTAATCAGGTGTTGAATGTTATTAGGCTACCCGTCATAGGCTTGCTCTATGCTGATGATCTTGTAATTTATACCGAGGGAAAACATGTAATGGACTTACAAGATAACATACAAACTGCTTTGGACAACATCAGTACCTGGCTTACTGATAATGGTTTTAAAATTTCATCAAGTAAGACAGTTGCGATTCTGTTTAGCAAAAGACAGCCAAACTTATTACCATCACTGACCATAAACAATCAATCAATCACCTTCTCCCACTTTGTACGGTACTTAGGAATGACTGACCTTTGATAGAACACTCAGATGGATTCAACATGTTAAACAATTAAAAGCAAATTGGCTCCACTCCCTGAATCTCTTAAGAATGGCCAGTAACACTAGCCGGGGCGCCAAACGAAAAAGCATGCTAATCCTGTATAGGACACTAATAAGATCGAAATTGGACTATGGATGTAATGCCTACAACTCGGCATCGAGTACCATTTTAAAAATTCTAGATCGTGTACAAAACACCGCACTCAGAATAGCTACTGGTGCTTTCCGATCTAGCCCTGCAAATAGCCTATGTGTCGAAGCTGGGACATACGGAGACAACAACTTGACCTCATTTACCAAATAGAACACCCTTTACAATTAGAGTTTCAACTTTACTAAATAATATAAATGTTGAACTTCCTATTTTTCAAGAAACTGCAGTTTCACCAATTAATCCTTGGGGACTTCCTTTTCCAAAAATTCATCTTTCTCTCACTAAATTTATTAAAAACAACAATGCCTTATATATATAAACAAGAATTTCTTAAATTTCAAAACAGACTAGGTGATTCTGACTTTATCTACACTGACGGCTTGAAGAGCTCCGCAGGCGTGGGAGCATCAATTATATGTTACGAACGTCAACATATTTTTTCTCTTTCACCATTATGTTATAATTATACTGCTGAATTGGTTGCAATACATAAAGATTTAAATGTTATACAGCCCACTAAACAAAAGATTGTCATATGCACAGATTCTCTATCCGCCCTAATTAGTCTAGGAAATGTTTTCTCATCTAATATAATAAAAAACATTCTGTACTCAATAAAGTCCTCAAATAGAAATAATAAATCAGTATTTTTTGTCTGGATCCCTGGGCATTGCCGAATAACCGGTAATGAAGTGGCTGATCAAGTTGCCAAAATATCCATTACTGATGGAATACCTTATCGGGGAGTACCTGTAGAGGATTTTAAAACTGTCATCAAACAGAAAATGAAGACAAAATGGGAACAGATATGTTCGAATGTAACTGAAAATAAATTGAGGGAGGTTAAAGGTGAAGCTTCCTCTTGGGCATCGTCAAATAGGAATAACCGCAGAGAGGAAGTAATTTTTACGCGCCTCCGTATAGGTCATACACACCGTACCCTGATGGCCCGTTATTATTCGCCAACATGCCAAACCTGTGGGACTCCTCTGACAGTGAGACACATTTTAACAGAATGCAGAGCTTACGAAACATTTAGACTATCTTGTGACTTGACAAATGGTCTACACTTCATTTTACAGGACACTACGAATGAAATTGACAAAGTATTTTCTTTTCTGAAATGTTCTTAACTTGAAAATACAATCTAAGGATTAAGAGAATAAATATGTAGAAATGGCATGTGATACTTCTACCAAAAATCTGTATTGCCGAGAGGAAGGGGTGGGTGGGAATATATAAATCAAATCTATGTTGAGTGTTAGAAAAAATATGTCCAAATCCTAAAGATGAGGTGAGACTCTTTAAAACAGTAAGGCATCACAAATTATTTATGAAGAAAATATGTTATTTATATAAATTAATCTATTTACAATTGTCCATTCATTTGATTTCTTAAATTTAAAAGTTTTAGAAATTAATCTTTGTTTTTCATACTATAATGTTCAATGTTTATGACTTGAAATTATTTGAATAATTTCTTAGCGCATGTTTCTTGTGTTTGTCTATCTCAACATTGATACTTTCATTGTATCTTATTAACTAAACAGGCTGGATTCTATTTTAAAACACATGTAACAAATGCAACTGATTTAAATAATGCTATTGCATGTATTGTGGTTCCAATGATGTAACATTAATCATTATACAGCTGTTCACAAGCTGAAACCAAAGTGTTGATATAATTTGTCTGAGGTTGCCACACTGACAAAAATTATACATGTTGCAACTAATTTATACTGTTACACTTATATAAAATTACTTCCATTTTATGGTTTGATTTCAGAATCACATTTTCAAATGAAACCTGAAATTCCTGAAAAACCACCTAGTTTTAGTTGTGCACCAGTTCTCAGCATCCCCAAACCTGAGACGGTTTCATCTATTACAAAATGGGTAAGTATTATTTTCTGGTATTAATTTGATTCTGAACCCATAGATTCCTTCCTTGTTTTTTTGTTTAAAAATTTAAAATTGCTTTACTGAGCAAAACTTATGATTACATATCCTGTTTAAAGACAGGGAAAACTGTAAAAAGTCAAAGGAATTTTATTTTTCTGGGAAAAATTCAGGAATTGCCTGAGATTTTAGGCAAACTTGAGCCAGGGAATATTCTGAAAATTTATATTCTTATTTTGAATATTGAATTTATAATTTACGTTTATAATTTTTTTCAAGGCACCTGAAATTGGTGAATTTTTACTATAAAAATTTCAATTTTTGAATTTGAGTTGCCAGTGGATTTCCGCGACCTAACAATGGCAGAAAATATTATTTCGTTATTATAAACCAAATACTTCATTATTTTGGAAGATGGTCCGGGGTGGCAGTCATAAATAGGCTAAATAATGGTAAAACTATTTTATTAAAAGTCAACGTTTTGACCCGACTTTGCAGGTCTTCTTCAGGGAGGTGTGTTCAGCTAGGAGTTTGATTTAGAACTTTATTATTTTGAATTTTCTAGCCTCCTGAAATTGGTAAAATTTTACACCGGAAATTGAAATTTTTTAATTTGAATCTGCCAGTAGATTTCTGCGACCTAGCATAGGCAGACTACATTAATTCTTTATTATAAACCAAATACTTCCTTATTTTAAAATTTCAAGCTTCCTGAAGTTGGTAATTTTTTATACCGGAAATAGCATAGATAGAAAAGGTTATTTCCTTTTCTTAAAGCGAATATTTTCATGTATTAAAATTTCAAGCTCCCTGTAAACAGTGAATTTTGACGGCTAAAATTGCAATTTTTTAATTAGTCTGTCTGTAGATTCTCATGGCCTAAAAGAGGCAGACAACGTTATTTCTTCCTTTTATCACACAAATTCATTGCAGTTATAATTGGGCTGAGTGGTTCTAAATGGCACGCTGCCCCAACACCACCCTACGGAAGGCTACATTTTACCTCGAATTATTGGTACCCTAATAATAAACGTTATTACAAATTTCTTCAAAATCAACTGAGTCATTCTTTAAAAAATTTGCTGATGAATATAATTATGGAATTGCTATTTCTCAGTTTAATGTATAAATGGAATTTTACTTTATTTGCATGATTCTTTTATTTTTTTTTTTTAGGATGGTGATGCTAATCAACAGATGTGGATCTGTCCAGCATGCATGCGTCCTGATGACGGTAGTCCCATGATAGCATGTGACCTTTGTGATTATTGGTTTCATTGGTAAGTAAAAGTGAAATATTCACACATCTACTAAAAATTAATTATTTTCTTTTGATGTCTTAGTAAAGTTATATAAATTACTATATTATTACTTATAATGAAAGACTATTATTTATGACCACTTTTCTGGTATCATGAAAGGAAAGATATTGATTACAATAAAAACATTTCCAACTCAGGTTGTCAGGCCATTCAAAAATATCAAAAAGAAAAAAAAAAAATGTTTCTATCAAAATTCTGAACTGTCTAATCTCAATAGATATGAAACTTATAACTTGTATTTATCTATTAATATTATTTGAGAATGCAAAACAAAGAAATATATTTCAACTATTGAAGCTCTGGATGGACTTCTCCTTTAATTTATATATATATATATATATATATATATATATATATATATATATATATATATACACATATACACATACATACATATATATACACATACACTGAGTGTCATGCTGGCTGGAGGTGTCAAGCTATCTCAAGTCTGAAGGGAGCCTGTTTAGAAATCCTGTCATGGGATGGGTTAAAATTTATTTTGTGGTGGATATATGCAATGGGTCTTGACCTTCCCACTCTAGTTGGAGTACATAAGGACATTTAACCCAAATAAACTAACAGATCAGACACTATCCTATGAATCAACTATTTTCACAAGAGCTAGATTAAAAATTTAATGTGTATATGCGTGTGTTTGATGGTGAAATATCTATATTACTTTCCTACCTATACTAGGTAAGTAAAGTATTGTGAATGGATCAAATTTCGGATATGCGGTTTTCGACAGATCTATACGTTTCAGTACCCCCTGAGTTCGAAAAACACATTTTTAGCCATTGGTCTATCTGTCTGTGCGAAGATTTTCTCGGAAACTAGTGAACCGATTTTGTTGCTTCTTTTTTTATTTTGTTGAGTTTTGACTACGGATGCCTATGACACAAATTAGTTGCTCCATGCACAATAGCTGCTGCGCAATAAAATAAAAACATGTTTTTCTATAGACTGTAGAAAACGGCTCAAAAAATAGAACTTTCCAATAATGTTCTAATAATTGTCCTTTCTATTTTCGTACATGGACTAAATTCCCGAAAAAAATCAGAAAAAAAAGTTATAAAGAAACAAAAAATGTTTTGGGGCCTAACTCGCTAAGTATATATTCTATGGTAAAATTTATAATAAAACTTTTGAAAGGTAATTAAATTAACAACAATACAAAAAATAAAACATTATCAGAATCGAACCAGTATTGCCGATGATACTGCTTATGCTAGTTTCTACACATGTTTTAATTTATTACTTTCCTACCTATACTAGGTAAGAAAAGTATTGCGATCAGGTCAAATTTCTGATATGTGGCTTTCGAAGGATCTATACATTTCAGAGCCCCCTGAGTTTGAAAAACTCACCGTTTAGCCTGTTTTTTTTTAAACATAATGAAATTCCCTATAAAACTATATAAAAATCGTTCATTTTGGACAACTATTAACGAATTTATAGCTATTCAATTTCCAATGTAAGATTACGGGTTCATATCCTGGTGTCAGAATGGGTTGAATGTGAGAAAAAAGATAACTAAGTGAAAGTAAGAAATCTGCCCGCATCACACAAGCTTCACTATTTTCGCTACTTTTAGCAGAAATTATTGATTGACAAAATTAGGCTATGGCAAAAAGGTTTTGATCAGCAATATAGAGGGTATTGAAATTTTTACTCTGATCTTCCTTAAGCCGTTTTACCAATTTTTATTACTTTACAATTATCATTACTTTAGTTTATCAAATAAATCGTACTCAAATCTTTTCTTTGATCAATTTTCAGGAAAATAAATGCCTGTCTTAAGGCCACAGAAAATAACAAATATATTATTGTATTTTTTACATCCGAGATATTACTGCATAATTGTGTTCATCATAGTAAACAAATTGTTGGGGCAACTACAATTTTTTCTAGAACCTGATTGTATTGCCAGTATGCAATTAACCTCTTGGTCTCATATGGTGTCAAGCAGTTTAGTAAAATTTGAGTAAACATTTTTGTGATACATTTAATTAACGAGATCAGGTGACCATTTTCTGGATTTAAATTATTACCTTTTTTGTGTATCGGGATAGCAACTATTTGAGACCATTGTTTCGGAATTTTTTCTGAATGAAAGATTTTATTATATGGTTTCCATTAGGAGGCAAATGTAAAAAAGATTGTATGTTATACCGCCATTTCTAGCTGATGAACAGAACTTACAACTATTTAGTGGGCCCTGAATTGTCTGAATTAGTGATAAAACTATTTAAAACTAATAAGTATAAAATATCATTTAGTTCGTAAATATTTTTTAAAATTGGAATTACTATACAGTGGATGTCATTTAAACGACCTTAAGGGACCTGGTAAACTTTGTTGTTATAAACGTATAATTGTTATAGCGACGACAATCGCTATATCTATCTACCTGTCACTGTCAGTAATGGCCCTGGCCGTTATATTGAAATTAAATAAGGGTAATGAACAAAATGTAAGCGAAATGGAGTTAAAACAGTGCTTTTTAAAAAATAAAAACATAACCGTTAAATAATATTCTATTTACTATCTGTAATGTATGCATCTATGGACATATTTATTTTTTATGTAAGGTAATGAACTTCTTAACGAAGTTTTCCGACTAAAATATTTAGTCTTTTGAAATCTTGAATTTGATATTGATGAAACGGTTATTTTTTTAATATTTTCAGTTGACTCTGTTTTTGAATTCAGTGATGTTTATAAAATTTTGATGCTTCACTACTAAACAGAAAAAAAATCTTCATCAGCATATCTGCTGGTCTTATAAACAAACCTTTGTTCTTTTGTGGGAGATGAACTAATAATGAAAAATCTAGTTTATAGATTCTTAATCATTGTACTGTGTAATCTAATATATGAACCCCTTACTTAGGAATTTTAAAACTGTTAAAAATGATTGTAAATCTTAGAACAGGATTCCCAAAACCTCAGATAAAATTTATACTTTAGAAATCTATTTCAATACCTTCATACGCATCTGCCAAAATACTTAACAAACCATGTTTGATTACTTAATTAGTTATTTCTGTACTTAGAAGATTAATAAATGTGTTGTTATAACACCTCATAAAGCATACTAATATTCATTCTAAAACTTCTAAACTGGCATCCAAAAAAGAACCATCACTTGTTTCATTTAATTTAATTCAGTATGAAAAATATGATATTTTTTTTTAATTTTGATCAGAATTAATTCTGGTTCCTATTTCAGTTTTTTTTTATTATTATTTTTTTTTTATGTTTGTCTTCTCTTTTAGAAAATTTGTTTACCTGCAAATCTTCATAATCTCTCATGTAAATAAATGACATGAAATAGTGCTGGTTTTGATCTTCATTTTATTCTTCATTCTCAGAAATTTTATTCTTCTTTATTCAGAAATTAAATTTAAATAACATTGTTGAAATTTAAGGTTTATGGAAGGAAATTACAGGAACATTTAATATTCTATATCAAAACCAACAATGAAAATTTAACACATGATGATGGACATTTGTAACAAGGTTATACAGATCTATTGTTACCAAAGATGCTACAAACATTCATATAATTAAATTAATAATTTCCAACAAACATCTTTCAATATAGCCTGTTTTATACTTAATAATTTCCTTGCTTATGTTACAGGACTTGTGTTGGTATACAAGAAGCCATAGAGAGTGACTGGTATTGTGAGTTATGTGTTTTAAGAAGAGAAGAAGGATGCAGTGAGAAAAAGAAAAAACACAGGAAAAAGAAGACATAAGTTTTTAATTGATTAACCACTTGACACTAAAATATTATTCTTTATATTAGTGATTAAGGGGAATGGTTTTAAAAACAATTATGAGCAAATTAATGTTTACAGGAAAATATTAATTTTGAGAGGGACATCTTATTATTTTTGAAAACTAAAAGTAGGTTGATATGTAAATAATAGTTTTGAATTAACCCTCTTAAATTTAAATTAGAAATTGATTTTATTTTTAGTTAACATTCCTTTTATATCATTGATTTTTCTGTGATTTAGTAAATTTATTTGTGTTGTGAAATTTTGTTTGATCAAGGCAATGCTATTTATTTAATAATTTGTTACCAATGTAATTTATTTTCTTTATGTCGAAGGAAGTTTCTTTATTATATTTTATTACTTTTCCTATTAATGCTTATTTGTAGCCACATAAGTATAGTATAATCTACTAGAGGTACTTATTATATCTGCTTCCTGGATGAGCTCTCTGTCTCATAGAGCTTTATAAATTTTTTTTCTTTTCTATTTCTCAGCAGTCCATGTATTCTGCACGAATATTGTTCTCCTTGTTTTAATTTTTTTGTATTGAAACAAATAAGGTATGGTAACCATTTATTTTATAGACCAGTCAGTCAATATTTTATCTGTAGAGAAATCTGCTTCAAAAATTTAGGACTTAATTTTGTTTTGATATTCATTTTCTTTAATAAGGAGATAAATAGTTGAAATCTATATATTAAGATTTAAGCTATACATGTAAATCTATTCCAGTGGAATCATGTCTAGTATCTTCCTTCCAATTTCATATTCTGTGTAAGGGTGTCATGTTTTCCTACCTCTTCTATGATTTATATCTGCTTCAATTCTATCACATTTGTCAGTTCATTCTTTTCTATATCACGGTTTTATGGTATTTTTATAAAAATTGAGTGGACTGAGATTGGAATCATGTCTAATATCTTTCTTCCAATTTCATATTCTGTGTAAGGGTATCATGTTTTTCTATCTCTTCCATGATTTATATCTCCTTCAATTCCATCACATTTGTCAGTTCATTATTTTTTATATCACGGTTTTATGGTATTTTTATAAAAATTGAGTGGACTGAGATTGCAGTTGCTTACAACAGTTAATGTTAGACCATTAACAGCTTCAATGGATTGGTCCCTGCTATGCTATTGGCTTGAGACCTTCAGAATGAATTATGTAGAACCATAAACCCAGATATAACAGAAGCCTGATTTACATAGATCCGGAAAGTTATGTCAAAAAGAGAGAGCTCAGAAACCTAGGTATCCACATATGAAAAAAAAATAATCCGGACATTGAGTGGTTGAGAAGTACGGTGTGGTGATCCAAGGAAAAGATGCATATATTTAGCTTTGCTTGATAAAAATATGGACAATTATTCATTGAGGATGTAAATTTTTTATTAATTAAAACTTGGAAAAATAGGGCCATAGGGGTGTTGCGCATGATGATGTTTGCTGAAAAAAGTAACCTATGATCTGAACATTTCTCGTCAGTAGTAATTACAATCCTTAATTTACTGTTCTGTTGGATGTTTTCAACATTAAATTATGGTTGTTCTTATTGGGAGTGGTATGTGTCCCTGTCCTTCCATCTGTCAATATTATAAGTCTCAGCTTGGACCCTAAATATTGGGGGGTTCGAAAATATCTGTAGCCACTTGTTGATAATATAATTAGCTAATTACAACATTTTGTAATTAAGTGGTTTGAAAGTACATAAATGTGTACCACTTCTTTGAGTTGTACAAAATATGTATATTGTTTATTTAATGATTGGATATTTTCATAGAGGAATATACTAGGCCTCTCTCTCATTTTTCAGCAAAAAGCCTTTGGGTCAGCCAAGATGTATTATTGCTGTTGGCTGTTTTTTTAAAAATGTAATAAGCCTATGCATAATTAAACTAGTCATACTTAAACTTTTTAAATATATTTTCAATTTTTTATTATTTTATTTCTGCTATACCTAATTTGCTGTTATTGTGGACATGAATGTTAGAATTTATATTTCCTGTTTGTTAATCTAGTCATATTGATTTGCTATGAACTATTACAAAATGGAATATTGTTTTATGGAGAACTTATGAATTTGTGTCTCAAAATAATGTATGTATATATATATATATACACTATAAAAATTACATACACAAAAATTAAAAATATGTTTAATAATGTGCCATGTATTGTAAATATAATAAGAAATATGTAACAAAAGATTGCTACATATCTTCTATCTATTTCATTGATCCAAATATTTTATTATCTATTTATTATTAAATAGGTTATTTGTTCTGAAGTTATTTATTAATTAATTGTTTGAAATTATTTGTTTTTATTCTAATTCTAGCTGTAATCTATATTGCATTGCAAAAAATACTAAGAGTAATTTTTCAGTTTTTAATTAGAAATGAATTCATTTTTTTGTATCATACAAAGTAAATTAAGATACCTATAATATAAAAAAAAAATCAAATTGCTAAAAATTTTGTAATATGTAGCAGTTATTTGTTTTGTTCTTTAAGCTTTCAAAATTTTTATAGACTAACTTTAGTCTATTCAAATTGATAATTTCTATATTAGTAATTTTTGAAAATGGTATTTATTTCTATTTTATTTATTCATTATTATTATTATTATTATTTTATGAATACATCTTGTATAGTTGAATTCTGTATTTTACTGAAGATATAAATATTTTTAATTTTAATTAATTCGATATGATAAAATGTTAAATTAGTTGACTTTTTTTTTGATGAATACATGTAGTATAGTTGGTAAGTTATTAATGTTTCTTTTATTTAATTAATTGTAACTATGCAGTCATAAAAAATAAATAATGATATGATTGAATAATAAAAAATAAATAAATTAAACGTTTCATTGTTATTATCTTTGGGACACTAATTCATTGTTAGTGTGCATTAAAGTTATAACTTTTGTTTAAATATAGACCAAAAGATAATATATGTATATATATATATATATATATATATATATATATATATATATATATATATATATATATATATATTGCCATGTTATTTTTTTAAGGCTTAAATTTTTTTGTAATTAAATAGTAATTAACATAGATGAAATGAATATTGTCTAATAATAAAAAATACTTTTAGTATAAATGAAGATAGCCATAAGCAGCAATGAAAAGATTCATTTAATATTAATGTTAGTGTAATTAGTGGTTATATGTGTTATTAATTTTGATACCAAAGTGATATTTTTTAAGGTTATATTGAAAAATATTGACTGTAAATTTTATAAAGTTGTTATATAGCTAATTCATAAATTGTTCTGTATTTAGTATAAATTTTATACGCCCACTTTGTTGTTATTTTTACAATGTATAAATTATGTAATTAATTAATGTTTATGGTTCTTATTTGTACAAAATGTGTTAAATATTTATGATGGATTAGTTTTTATTGTTTTCCTTATTCAATGTTAATTGTGTACTTACAATTTTCAAAATTTTGTTATACTTTCATTTCATAAATTGAAAAATAAAGAAATGATTGCTCAATAATACTTGTTTATAGAAATTAAATTTCCTTTTATTTCTAGTAAAAATATTTATTATCCAACATCCATAATACATACAGCGGTTCAAAAAAGTATTGGCTCACTCCTTAAATCTCAAACATATTAAGGTGTTTTCCAGAAATAAAATTTACTTCATAATTGGCCTCTGAAAACTAGATTTTATAAGCAATTAATATTTGGAATTCTCGGATGAGTTTGAAGTAATCATACAAATATTAAATTTTCAAGATCAAAAATGTGTTGGCACAGTTTTAATATTTACCCTAAACAAATTAACCCGTTTTCTTTCAGTACATAAATAATGATACTATAATAACAATAAAACTTAGTCGTCGTTCTATATAAGCTATAAATTGGCTAAAACAAGCGAACTTGATGTTTCTTTTAAAAAATTGATAGTTAAGTTATTTTCTAAAAGCCTCAGTTACTGAAAAATAGCAAATAAATTAGAAACAAATTTTAGTACTGTTCTAAGTATTGTTAAAAAATTTAAGAAAACTGGTTCGGTTTTAAACAAATGTCCAGGATGGGTATCAAAATTTATTGAAAGGGAACAAAGGAACATACACCGGATTGTACAGCGAGATTCCACTAATCAGCTGACAGAAGAAGTTGCTCCAACTTCCAATACCTGCTTCAGTTTACAAACAGTAAGAAATGTTATTCTCAATTATATTTATTACGTTAGGGTTCAAAGGTAAAACCTTTTATTACCGAGACAAACCCCCAAAAAACGGCTCGAGTTTGCAAAATCATTTGTTGATAAAGACATAAAATTCTAGAAAAATGTTATTTTTTCAGATGAGAGTAAATTTAATATTTTCGGCTCTGACTGCCGCAGATACATATGGCGAAAACCTAATACAGAGTTTCAACTTCAACATGTGAGGCGGAAGTTTCCAAGTTTGGGGTTGCATGTCCTGGAATGGTACAAGGAACTTGGCCTTTATAGACGGTATTATGAATGCCAAAAAGTATGTTGACATTTTGTGTCATAATTTAAAAAGTAGTTTCAAAAATCTGGGGATAAATGATACTTTTATCTTCCAACAAGACAATGACCCCAAACACAGCAGATAAAACGAATGAGTGGATGCTGTATAATGTTCTGAAGCAACTTAAAACTCCACCTAGGAATTAATGCTATAGAACACCTATGGTATCTATTGAACCTCAAAATAATAAAAAATAAAATTTCTTCAAAAAATGTACTTAAGGAAATTTTGTCTGAGGAATGACGTAAATTTGCTCAAGAAGTAATGCAGAATCTTGTTTCATCAATGCCAAGATTACAGGCTATCATAGATGCCAACGGTATGATGACGAAATATTAGTTGTATCTAGTTCAAATTTATAAATTTGATTTTATACATTATTATTATGTACACAATTAACTAACTATTCTAGGATCGTCCGTGGTATGTTTGGCCCCAAAATATTTTTTTTTATGTTCATATATGTTCAAATGCCCCTCCAGTGTTTCCCCAAAATATTTCTTTTTTTTGTATTTTTTTATCACTGTAGAATGACTGGTGGTTGTTCTGAGGGCCTCTAAGATCGTCCATATGGAAGAATTTTCGATGGACTGAGATGAATGAAATTCATTGGTGTATAACTGGGACCATCCTTAGCGTCGGAACGGGTCTGGGCGTCAAGTTGATTCCAGATGATCTAGATCAGGAGTGAGACTTAAGCCCAAGCAGGAAGGGACTCCAGGCTCTATTATCGCTCAATTTGTTAGGCAGACAATAAAAGATCAGATATTACAGCAATGAAGAACGAAGAGAGATTTCTCTACCCGGCATCTAGGCTGGGGAGAAAAGGATTCGCATCGGGTGTACGTGAGCGAAGCCATGACTTCCACCAATAAACATCTCTACTGGTTAGTCAGGCAGAAAAAAAGGACAGCAAAGATAAAATACATTTGGTTCAGTGTCGGAAAAATTCGATGCAGTCAGACGGATATCCTGTGGTAATTACAGGAAAGCCAGACAGGACTTCGACGTTTTTAGTTGAATTTTGTATGTATGTTTCCCAAAGTTTGTTTTAGTTTTACTTTTTCTCACTAAAAATATTTTTAATTTATTCCTTTTTATTTTCTCGTCATCTTAGTAATACTAACGAGCTGGAATTTTATTTAACTATTTGTTTTTTCTTTCGATTTATTTTAATCATAGCCATATTTATATTTTCAAATTTCTATAATTTTTATTTTATCTTTTCAACGATTATTTTATGCTTATATTTTTCTGCTGTTATGTCAAAAATTAATTTTTTGTTAAAAATTGTTATATCCTATTCTCCATCCTTGATCTTTTCTCTGCAATTTTACTTCCCAACATATCAATTATGATTAATATACTAAACTCCTGTCACGTCAATGCACAATCCATTACTGCCCACTTTGATGAATTCCAAAAATATTTCCTCCATAATTTTTACCACACAATAGCAGTATCTGAAACCTTTAATCCCTTCTTCCAAATTTCTCTACCCAATTTACACTTGGTTAGACCTCTACATCTCTGACTCTCCCATCAAAATCCTATCCTCTTCTCAACATACCATTCCATTTCTTTCATCACATGACGTAATCCAAATTACATACGACTTACCCGTGAAATCCTTTACTCCCAAAATGGTTTCATACCGTAATTTGAATCTCCTCTCCTATGAATCCCTTCAACCTGACCTCGATTCCGTCCAATGGGATATCATATATTCTCTTATAACTCCATTGAACCTATGGTATCTACCATTAACTCAAACCTAAAATCCATATTAGACACCCATGCTCCTGTGAAAACTAGAACATTACGCCGCCCCACTGCTCCTTGGCTGTCTCCTGAAATAAAGGAAATAATAAAAAGAAGGGATGTAGAAAAACGCAAATACCGCCGAACCCGTCTGTCAATTGATTATGCGCCTTTCAAAGAATTTCGCAATAGTACTCAATCCGTAATTCGACTAGCTAAACCCACCTACTTCCATAATTCCCTTTCCAATGCTCCCGACTCCAAATCCAAATGGAAAATACTCTGAAATCTATCCCTACCAGAATCAAATAATCTCAGTTCCCAGTGACCCCAGATGATCTCAATGACCACTTCTTATCCTTCTCCTAATTACGATATTGAGCATCACAATTTCAATACGGAAGACTTTTTTTTCTTCCATGTGTTCTACGATGAACTACTACTTTCCGCTATCCTAAAATCTCATACCAATGATTATGGCCCTGATAATATTCCAGTAAAACTAATAAAATCCAGCCTTCCCCTCCTTATTCCCGTACTTTACCATATCTACAACTTTTCATGGAAAAACTCCCTATTCCCATCTTCCTGGAAAACCGCCCTAGTCCAACCTTTAAATAAAACTTTAAATCCTTCTTCACCTCATGACGTCCGTCCCATTTCCCTCCTTTACAATCTTCAAAACCGCTAGAACGCCTCATCCAAACCCAACTTTCCAAATTCCTAGAAGAACATTCCCTAATCAGCCCTCTCCAATCTGGCTTTCATCCTGGTTATTCAACCCAATCTGCCATCCTAAAAATAATCCATGACCTC